TCAGTCTCTTTAAAAAATGTATTTTGGGATGTTAATTACATGATTTCAGGGCACAAGTCATAAGGAAATCAAAGGTTGAAAATCGTATTATTTCATTCATTCAGACTCTCATCTTTAAGCTAGGTAAAATGTGTAGATGATCTGTGTAAATAAATGTACTATTCAGAAGGCAAAAAAACAAATGGTCAAGATTTTTCTCCAAGGTTGATTACAAAGTCAATATTTGTACCAACTATGTGTCTCTTATCAAAACAAATGAACACAAAGATTTCAGGAACTGTTGTATCCCTAATAAACAAACAAACAAACAATTATGTTTTCTTTTTATAATGTTTGTGTAGATGATATTTAATTATCAAGAAATCATATTGTTGCATAGCTTCATCAAAATATGAGCTTTTGTACACCATGTAACTAGGCCTAAAAATAGATGTTGTGGTTCCAATTACCCGACTGACCCTTGAATTCTGGTGCTGACCCTATTTTTTTTAAGTGGTATGAATGGAAAAGGCTTTGAGATACCATTGTCCCAGCACCGACAGCCATCGGTCATTCTGATGGAGACAGTCAACATGATGGCTGCAAGCTTGATTGAATAAAGAATTACACATGATAAATGTAATTTTAGTTTGTACTTTACTTCTAAAAAAATGTAAAAAAAACAACCTATTTACCTACCCTAAATTTTAAAGTGGTGTGGGACGGCGGGGTAGTCTAGTGGTTAAAGCTGCTGGCTCACAATGGGAAGAAGACCCGGTTCGAATCCCCACATGGGTACAATGAGTGAAGCCCATTTCTGGTGTCCCCCGCCGTGATATTGCTGGAATATTGCTAAAAGCGGCGTAAAACCAAACTCAGTCAGTCAGTTAAAGTGGTGTAATGGGAACCACAAGTTTTTTTAATTTGGCCCTATGGCACTTACTCTAGCTTATATGTTGTCTTGCCACATCCTTAAGATTTAATGAAAAATAGTAATATATACATGTAAAGTGACTTTTCTGATATTTTAAAAAAGAACTGTGACTATAATGGTATAAAATTGTCTGATCTTGAACAGGCCAGATATGGTGATCATTATGTTTACATATATGTAGTCAAGGTAGCACTCATTTCATTAACAACACAGTTTCTATTGTAACACGAAAGGGTATTTAGTGCACCAATGCATAATGCACATGATCAACAATGTGTGTCATTGTGAAAACCCATCCTGTTATCAACCATTTGTTTAATTGTGAATGCCTATCCCGTTATTAAGAAGGCCTATCTCATGAAATGTTTACCATAGAAGGCCTCCCCTGTTAACTGTCAACAATTTATGTCATTATGAAGACCCATGCCCACTGACATGGCATCTGGTTGACAGGGATGGGAGGGATTGTGATGTTGATCCCTTTGGGTGAAGCATTCTGCCAGGAGAAGGAGCCTTCTGTGTAGCCAAGGAGGCTGACTTTCATTCCAGTTTTTGGCAAAGCTGATCCAAGGATGAGTTGGCCTGGTTGTGGCCAGTTGAGCACAATGGCGTACACCGTCCCAGCTCTCTGTGTGTACCTGAAGAGAGAATACACAGTGTAGTTTAAAAGAACACTAATCCTGCAGGATATCCCATCCTTTTCAGCGGTTAGTATATAGATGATAGCTCTGCACTAAGTAATTTACACCAGCCAAATAACATGATATAACAGAGGACCAATGTGCTGTTTATTGTCAAAATATGGTGTAAAGAACGCCTGGTGTGACTGTGTCAATCTGGGCCACCCAAGGTGTGGAATATATAAAGTACCTACCAAACTCATAGTATGACTGTGTCATTCTGTGCCAGTCAAGGTGTGGAATACAGAAAGTACCTACCAAACTCCTGGTGTGACTGTGTCATTCTGGGCCACCCAAGGTTTGGAGGAGTAGATGGCCTCTCCATTCACCTTTAGCCATTCTCCCAAAAGACGCAGTCTCCCTCCTCAAAGATGGGTGTGATCATGCCATATTTGGTTGGCCCCACATTGATCAGCATGTTTCCTCCACAGCTGTAAAGGAAAATAACAGTACAGAACACTGTGTGAAATTGGTGTTTTATGTTGATGTGTTGCACACTTGCCCCATCAGTCTGGGCTGCCTCAGTTTACTGTACAGAGTTGCATCCCTTTGTTGTGCTAGAGACTGCCATCATGCGTTTTAGGTCTATTTATGTTGCAGGTGTTGTAAACCGCTTGTTCATGGATTGCACCAAAATGGTAAATGTCGAAGACCCACCTCACCTTAGATATTCCTCACATGATACTGATATGCTCATGGACATTCTAGTTTCAGCCAGTGTGGGATGTTTGCTCATGACATCCACCACTTGTTCCATATGTGGCATATTACAGATATATTTCTGTTGCAACAGATTTAATGTACAAACCTGACCGTTATAGTGAGTGAGGAATGTTAGGGTCATCACAATACTTGCCTGTCTCAGAACACAGTGTGTTAAGGTAGTGAGATATGGTAGCTTGGTTGATTGTGCTGACCTGTTATCTCACCTGTTTTGTGTGGCCAACACATACATGTATATTTCTACAGTTTTAGCATACACTGCTAACAGCATCAGTGTACACCTAATAGTTTTAGTGAACACACCTGGCAGCTTTAGTGGACAGTAGTGGTGTTCCGATTAATTGAAATAATCGAAGATTGGTCGAAGTGACCAAACGACCAAGCAATCGATCACATTTTCTCATAATCGAACACAAACGATTTTGGACCTGCTGTTTTAGTGTTTGAAACACTTGACAATGGAACATATCTTCGAAGTTGTCAGGGCCTGAAAAATTGTTTAATTCTTAGAAAACTCACTTCACTAACTGAAAAGTCATGACTGAATATTTCTTGAAGACTCCAGAAAGTTTATGTTCATGATATATTACTCATCAATTTAAAGTAGCAAGTTGCATCATGTTATACATATCTACAATAACAACCTTGATAGGAAAATCTGAAAAAAACTTATTTCAATGATTGTTCGTTGGTAATGAAGCAATCATCAATTGTGAGATTTCAACCAATTCCCAACACTAGTGGACACACCTGACGGTTTGAGCAAGCAGTGCTATAATCTCATTCATGGTCAGAAAGTCATCCAGAACAGCCTCTCGACGGAATCCCCATGATTGCTTGTCAATTGTCATCGCATTCTCCCACTTTCTTGGCTGAAGCACCCCTTAAACATGTAAGAATGGTTACTGTAGTGTCACCCATGTGTTCATTCATGCAGCTATTACAACAGCTCTTGAACAATCCGTGATTAGACATTATTCTGGAAATATTTCACATGATGGTTAACTGTATCTGTTTATCAACTGGGTTTAGTTATCACAATCTACCTAAATATTTAATTTGAGACTGCATCATAACACCAATCTTCACTAGAGCAAAAAACAGCCTCAATTGTCCAACAAAGCACTGATTCCATTTGATGCAAATGCCAAATTAGAGGAAGAAGTCACTGAAAATCAGTGGGATTGGCTCGTCATGGCCTTCTGGTAACACCAGTCCCTCATACAGTTTGCATACAAAAGAAAGCAATTTCATATTTAAAAGAAAGAAAGCAATTTCATATTTAAATTTAGCTTTTAATGTTGTTCCATGTAAAATCTTTGAAAGTTATTGACCTTATATTTGTGAAATAATTTAGTTATTTTACCTGGGTTGTACCTGTCTGCACATGTCAAGAACCCCCCATGATGACACAAGTCCCCCTTTCCCCATCTGTCATTGGTGACAACTGTGTCCTTCACTGGGCTGCAATGAGACTGATATGTACATTGTAAGTAATCACAGGGGCAAGTCACTGTTTGGTTCCAAGTCATTTGTCCGAAGGTATGAGGACTGAATGTAGCACTATTACTGCCAAAATACAGACTCTTACAGATGTGTATAAAATACAGACATCTAGATTGAGGCATAAGAGATTGATCTGGTTTCTGTAGGCAGTCCTAACTTGTTTAATTTGTCATGGCATATTATAAGGAACACTCCACAAGTAATTGGAATTTGAATAGTAAGTGCTGGTATTAACCTTATCAAAATGGGAGAACACACATTTGTTGAATATTATCAATGTGACGATTTGAACATTTAAAGTGTTAATAAATATGAAATACACAATGCCATTTAATAAATAGCTGTTTTAGCTCTGAATAGTTGGCTACTAAACCTGCAATGTCAGCAAAGTGAAAAGGGTGACAACATGTTTTCTGCAAAGCCTATGTATACCTGCCATTGTACCAATTACATGCTGAATGAACATACACTTGTTAAATACTATAATGTTAAATATCCGTGCCACTGTGGCTGTGTACCTGTCATTGTACAGCCAGGCCAGGAACTCCTTGGAACCCCAATAGGTGTCTGGATCAAACCAGTCTCCATCAGACCAAACAACATCTGGCTTATAGGTATTCACAAGCTCGTACAGCTCAGGAATGGTCTTTTTCCTGAAATAGAATGGTTGTAACAAGTCAAGTTCTCTGTCAAGTCAACAATATGCATCATGGACTACTGGAATTGTCATATCCTCAAGCATCTTATGCAAAGAATACTACCTCTAATACATTAGAGTAGTCCCTCCCTCTTTTGCCAATATATCTGCTTCAGGTACAGGCAGTTATTGGAACAATGTAAATGCTCCCTGTAAATGTGCTGGGGCAGGGCAGTTGGGATATAATGTGGTTACCATGACAACTGATTCAGAAGGTTGACACTGACAAGAATGTCTGTCGGAAATCTGAAGATTGTTTTGTGTGATTTCATCTAAATTGCAGGATAGATAAAGTATTTTCTCAGCTAATTATACACAATGGTAACTATAGATTTCTGATGTCCCCTGCTATTGTATTCATGGAATATTGTCCAAACTACTATTAAACATTACTCACTCATTCATACCATTGAGATCACATACACTAAAACATTACCCTACCAACCATCCATCAATGATGTATCTATTATACTAAAACTAACCACTGGAAACCTGGTGGTTGTGTGGTTGTTGGCAACATCTTGTAGATACAGAGGGTGGAACCACTCAAACATAGAGTGGTACAGGCCAAAATGGAGGTCTGTCTTGCTGCGGATGGCCTGGGCCAGCTCACCTGACAACAAATGTATATTTGTGTGTTGTTAAATGCTGCTCTCAGCATTATTCCTGCTAAATGTTCATCTGTATAAATAAAATCAGCCTGACAATCCAGTGATTAAAATGGTGAACAATTATCCATACTACATAGATAATCATTACACTGACACCACAAACCATATGTGTTGAGGGTTGACGGCATGTTAGATAATTTCACCGACCCCTTAATCCACATGGAGGGTTACATTGACCAAGCCCTTGTTTGTATTCACTGTGATATACAGTAAAGCATAATGCATGTTCTTACCCACAATGTCTCTTTTTGGTCCTACCATCTGGGAGTTCCAGTTGAAAGAGACATTGGTTGGCCAGTTGCAGAAACCTTCATGATGCTTGCTTACAAATACATATATACCTGCAACAAACAATCATGGGGGGAATTGAGGCAATTGTTGGGCTAGTGCACTGGACAGAAGTCACAAACAATGTATATTAATATAATGTCATACACTTCATGTTGTTTAACCAATTCATATAGACATTGCTACGCACGCATCAGTTTGTTTTTATTTGTTTGTTATTTAACACTGCAGCTATAATAATCAAGTCTTGACAAGACAATCAAGTGAACAACAGCAATGAGTATTGATCTACACAACTGGGATATGTTGACAAAAGAAGCAGTTGCCTAAAACATTTCAATTCTTTATCCCAAACATTGATTTAGAGGAATTTACAATATAGTAGTAGTAGCAATCATCTCATACTTAGCTCCAGAGTCTGCAAATAGTTCCGCCCATGTGTTGGCATCATAGAATTCAGCTGTAAAATCTTGAGCAAAATCTGCATAGGTCCAGTCTGGTTTGTAGTTTTTCTTCATGAATTCTACAAATTTGGGTACTATATCTTTCCTTTCCTCCCAGTGTTCCCAGAACCACTGAACCAAAACTTGGTACTGAGAACACTCCCCAGTGGATGAAGATTCCAAGTTTAGCTTCATCATACCATGGTGGAAGTGGGCGGAATCTAGGGACTCCCATGTTGGGTCGTGAGCTTAACTTCTGGGGTTTCCTTGTAGTGTAAAGCACTTGTTTGGATAGTTAAGAGGGTGAGGAAAAGAGTACCTGCCTAAGGGTAGCCATTTTAACAGTGGCTAAGTATATGACTGTTAAGATATATGACAGTGGTAGTTATCATTTCTTGATATGTTTGCACGATCTGGGTGAGGGTTGTGATGTTGATTATTTTTTATTGCTGATATGGTGTAATGGTTGGCCTTGTGCTGAAGATAGAGATATCTACACTTGACACAATAAAGTAACATGCACCAAATTGTTGATGACTTCATCTTTTAGTTTCGAGTTCATTTTCAATTTGAGGTCATTTTCAGTTCTTGTTTTAGTTAAAGTATTTTGTTCTTTAGAAAATGGTTAATGGTTTTGAAATATGTATAGTTCTTGCCCATTAAAGAGTATAGTTAAGTCAAGTTGAGCATAAAGAAACCTCCATTGTTCAGTCATTCATTATTATGTGCAATATGGTTTAGTAGTAGTAAGGCATTTTTCTACATTTCATAATTTTCCAGTTACTGTATTTTACACATAGGTTTCTGATTACTCCAAAGATGCCTAACCATTCAATAATTCACATTTTATCCATTTTGGTTGTTTTGGGTTTCAGTGTTTTGATTTTTATGTAAACTCTTTCCTTCCATTGCAAAGTCACATTGGATTTTGTGAGCTACAGGACTTGTGGCTCCTCTTTGTTTCACCATTTTTATGAAAAACTGATGGCAAATAATCCAAGCATGTTTTCATTTATGTACACAGTTACTTGAAGTGGTTCTAATCCATCTTGCAGATCAAGGTACAAAACTCTATACCCAAGTGTTGTTATGACATGATAATGAAATTGTTATCCATTAACTGTGTCTACTTTACCATTCTCAATGCAGGCAACACTATCAGAGAGATTTTATTATGACTGCATTGTGTTGAATAGGCTCATTTGCTCACACCTTTCTGAGGGGGTTTACCTCTGGTCCTGTCTAAATGGTGTATCAGTGCAATATGTGTAAAAGGACATGTGTCAATCCATAGCTTTCTAATGGAGTAAATGTCTCTACAAGGTGTCTTAGGGGGAGCACATCACAGTGCAACAGATGGTGGTGTCACTTGACACCTTGCTGAAATGGTTTACCTATCACGTGAAGGTATGTGACTCTGATCAAAATATTGCATGTCAAAATATTGTACATATCATGTGACTTGCATCATGCATATTTAACATGATACTGAATGGTGTCCAAGCATGACGTGCACACGACACCTACCCTTCGTCATGTCTGCAAAGTGTCACACCTGGGATCAGAATGTCACCGATGCATGTCAAATCGAATTTTCATCATGAGGTTTGCGTTATGCTTATTCAGCATAATATGTCACACCTACTCAAAATCCTTGAGTGATCACCATATCCATTCAAGGGAGATAATCTCAAAGAAATAAGCACAGATGTAGTGGTCATAATGTCTATATTTGCTGTCAAGGCAGCATTCTTTTATTATGAGAACAGTTTTCATTTATAATACAAAAATGTAAGTAAATTACCAAACATGTTCATTTGGACCATCCCATAATGAACCATACCATGTTGGAGATTCATCTCATTAACTTTTAGACATTGATGTAACAGCCATCCCATTGGAAACCAATTGTGTTATTGTAAAGGTCAGCTTGGTAAATTGGTAACCACTTTTGTCCTTATGAAGTTCCATCCTATAATTAACAAATTATTTTAGTGTGGAGGCCCATCCTTCTGTCAGCCACACATGTTTATCTCAGTGTCAACACCCATGCCCACTGACATGGCATCTGGTTGACAGGGATGGGAGGGATTGTGATGCTGATTCCTTTTGGAGAAGCATTCTGCCAGGAGAAGGAGCCTTCAGTGTAGCCAAGGAGGCTGACTTTCATTCCAGTTTTTGGCAAAGCTGATCCAAGGATGAGTTGACCTGGTTGTGGCCATTTGAGCACAATGGCGTACACCGTCCCTTCTCTCTGTGTGTACCTGTAGGGAGACCATACCATAATAGTGTAAAACAACAATTATTCCATGGGATATCTCACCCTGAGACCAAGGTCGTGACTTTAGCATGTACACCAAGGTGGTGACTTTTATAACAAGTACACAAAGCAAAGTCTTTCTTGTAATCAACAAGTCCAAATCAAACATAATCACTATGATAATTAAACTGAAATAGGATACAGCCTGGAGAGATTTAGACAATAACAGCATTCGCAGACAAGAGTTATCTGCTTTCTTATCATGTTATTATTGATTTGTAACTACCGGGCTACGTATTTATCAAAGGTGGTGCTCAGAGCTATGTGGTTTAGAACAACCATTTACTAAGGACATTATTAACACTTCTTTGAATTTCCCTTTGGAGAAAGACACGGATAATGGCATTATAACTGGAATGTGATGGAATATAGTGTAGAATAAGGCATAAATCACCTACTGTGATAGAGTCATTCTGTGCCAAGCATGGTGTGGAATATATAAATTACTTACCAAACCCCTGGTGTGACTGTGTCATTCTGGGCCACCCAAGGTTTGGAGGCGTAGATAGCCTCTCCATTCACCTTCAGCCATTCTCCCATCTGACGCAGCCTCTCCTCATAGATGGCACTGATAATGCCATATTTGGTTGGCCCCACATTAATCAAGAAGTTCCCTCCACAGCTGAAAATTAAAATAATAAGTATAAAACACTATGAATTTTGCTGTAGTTGTTGTGATGATGGATTTTCTACTTTCTTCCCTTTCATTGTGATATATATACAGTGAGACCTCGGATATCCGGACACATTCGTTTTTACGTAAATCGTCCGGATAATTGAATATCCGGATATCTTAATTTTTGGTTTTCATACACCTCAAGGAAAATCCAAACTGTTTATGATCATCAAGCGTTTATTGTACATGTATAGACAATCAAAAACAGCATCACAACATAACAATCATACCTTTACAATTACTTTTCCTTGGCTGTCACTGCCTAGCGCTTGTGTTTAGTAGGTTGACTAGCCATTTGTGATCATTTGAAAGACCAACTCACTTGAATATCGACACACTGCACTTTTATTGCTTTGACTGAATAAACAACTTAACAGTTAGAACTCAATGGTTAACTCAGTGTCAGCTAGGCCTTCTAATCACCACCAATACCTTGATGATCATTAATCCGGATTAGCCGACCATGTCTCGTGTCAAAACACGTGGGACTCTCGCACTTCCCTTCACACGGTTAGCGGTAGATCAAAGCTTCGTGCGGATAGGTGAGTCAATTTTGTGTTGATTTAGCCGGTTTGTTTGTAAAATGTACCGTCCGGAAACGGAAACCGAATATCCGTTATAGACAGTCACTTTTATAACGTAAGAGATTGGTTTTTTTTCTATAAATTGACCGGAAGGCGAGGTTTCCGGATATCTGGGGTCCGGGTATCCGAGGTCTCACTGTACACAGATACATGGCTGAAAAAAATCACTGTTGTGTGTGTGTGCTATAAAATGTAAACTGGACAATTAAAACTAAACTAAGTTTGATGTGTGAAGCTTTCAGTTGTCTCAGAGTGAAAGCATGATCCCTGTCTATTCCATATTTTGTCATCATTTTGTGGTTGTGTCGATCGTCAGATAACTGGAAGCAGTTACCCCAGTCCCTCCACATTCATCACAACAGTGTTGGACTGTTTTTTACAAATGCTGAAAAGTCTTAACTAAACTGAAGATATAGTTTACACTTGCTGATGTGGAAATGTTGATTTTGAATGCTCAGGGCTATATACAGCACCTGATTGAAGCTTGCTTCATCCCTACATGGTCTGTGCAATGTTCTCGTGTTTGGGTTATGTCAACTTAATTTTTCCAACCCTTACATTCTCAACCGACAGATACTACATTCTTAGGATACTCACATTACATTCTCTGCAGAACCATCTTATGTTTTCAGCTGGCATACCTTACATTCTTCATACATCCTTTATATTTTTAGCAGACACATCTTTCATTCTAACCACACACTTAAGTGAAGACACCTTACAATTTGAGTGTACGCACCTGACAGTTTCAACCAGCAGTGGTATAATATCGTCCATGGTCAGATAATCATGCAGGACAGCCTCCCGACGGAATCCCCACGAATTTCTGTCAATTGTCATCCCATTCTCCCACTTCCTTGGCTGAAGTACTCCTTTAGCACATGAGAAGAATCAGTTTAAGTTTCATTTGAAAGTTAATGGACGGACATTATTCTATATGAAATTTGATTTGATAATGTTTGAACTTCAGAATTTACTGAATCTATTTATTCATCAGCTAAGCATAATCTACAAACAGTGATACATTTGAGATTAAAATATTGCATCAATGCAAGGGAATAACCAGTCTCAATTATCTGATGAAACAGATGGCATTTGGTGGAAGGAGCAACAGAATAGTACATATTAAAGGAATGGAACACTGGGTAAGAATGTTCTGCTGTATTGGTAGAACCCAACACTTACACCCAAACAGTTTGCTCTAAAATGTAAGCAGTTTCTTTTTTTCACATTTCAATTGACATCATTTTTTATGTTTAACAGAAGGTAAAGATTCGTAGACACCCATCCTGCTTGTATACTTTCTTCATGTAGGAAGGTTGGAGGATAGCCAAGTGGATAAAGCATTTATTCATCACACAGAAAGGTCTGTGTTTGGTTCCCCACATGCCTACAGCCCATTTCTAGTGTTCCAACCATGTCCTTGCTGAATCATCTCACACACTCCATCAACCACCCCCACACACACATTCATTCCTTTGATGAAATATTTTGGTTTATTACCTGGATTGTACCTGTCTTGGCATGTCAAGACCCCACCGTGATGACACATGTCCCCCTTTCCCCATCTGTCATTGGTGACAATCTTATCCTTCACTGGGCTGCAAAGAGGAAAAGTTGAGAAGATTGATGTGTACACCATTATACAAAATAACCAATTCATATCGCTAGGTAATGATTTCTTGATTCCGAGTCAACTATACCTTGGTACTGGCCAGAGTATATGACTATCATTGCCATATACAAGAACTGCCAAAGGTATGTGCAAAGGTCGTAAAAGTTGAGTGAGGCAAAAGAAATTGATTTGGTTTCTGTAAGTCATTCTTTATAATTTCATTTTCAAACCCAGCTAAAAAAATGTATGAGAAAAGGGATATAGATACTGTTCAGGGTGAGCAATGGGTATATATAATACTGCTCTCATGATAAAGAACATACATTTGCTGAATATTATCCATGGAATGATGTAAAAACTTCATTGTTTTTGCAGAGGTTATTATTGCACTGAATGATGAGCTACCAAACTCACCAATGTTAGCTTTCACTATATTTACACAATATCACCATGTAAATGGGTACATAGTATCCCAGCACACAGGCTGTGTACCTGTCATTGTACAGCCAGGCCAGGAACTCCTTGGAACCCCAATAGGTGTCCGGGGCCTCCCAGTCTCCATCAGAGTCAATAATGTCTGGCTTGTAGGTGTTTATAAGCTCGTACAACTCTGGCATGGTCTTTTCCTGAAATTGATTTGATTTAAATGGAATGAGATGCTGTATATTCATGGTACACCCTGTGATAAAAAAAGGGTTTAATGCTCCAGACCAGTTCTATATGAGCTCTACATGACAGATATGATTAATTCCAATTATGAACCAGTTAAAAAATGACTGAGTTTGGTTTTACGCCGCTTTTTAGCAATATTAGTATTGGTGGGCTACATGCTGTTATATGATGGGAGTTGGATCAGGGCAGCTAATCAACCCTGTCACTGTGTGTCGTCATGTCCATAGATGTTCTCTTCTTATTCTTAGAAGATAATTTGCATGAGTTAGTAATCATGATCGTGATTGGTGACTGACTGACGTTTGGTTTCACGCCGCTTTTAGCAATATTCCAGCAACATTACGGCGGGGGACCCCAGAAATGGGCTTCACACATTGTACCCATGTGGGGATTCGAACCCGGGTCTTTGGCGTGACGAGCCAACGCTTTAACCATTAGGCTACCCCACCGCCCAGTTAAAAAATGAAGTGACTGTAAGATGTGTAGATTTTATCTGTTTCTTGGATGTTCAACCAGTCAGTGGCTTTTATCAGTATCATCTGTTGGTGCAGGAAGTCTAGTAGTTTGGTTTTTTGTGACGACAATCTTGACCTTTCATTATGGTTCATTGGAACACCTTACCTAAATTTCATCATTGCCAATATTTTTGCAATTTGGCTGTCATTGCACTGAAATAGTCTTTGGATTTATCAGAACCAGAAGTTGTGTAATCAGACCATGGAAGTGACATCATGGAAATACTAATATGAAGATCCGAAGTGATTGTTCATGTGCCATCCGTCTTTATGTTTCCCTTTGCACATCGCTGTCATCACTCAAGGATTACTATATGCTGGAAGGTATTCAAAGGAATGAATAAACTGTAGTTATCATTATGTATAATTCTGAGAATACTACCACTGTTGCATCAGGAGGAGTCCTTCCCAAGTTCCGCCACCATATATCTGGAATATTGCTGAGTGAGGCTTTAAACAATAAACCAACCAACCAATCCTACAGATGGCTGAAAGTGAAGAGATTGTTTTCCAGGGTGATGATAGCCACATTGCAAGAATATTGGCAATAAAATGAAGGTAGTGTTCTCAGAATGATTTGATTTCTGGTGTCCTGCTCTGATACTATTGGCAAAGTGCAAAAATGTGATAAAAAGACATACTCCTTCACTCACATCATTTAGCTCACCTATCCTAAAACACATTGTCCACTCTGACAATTCATCAATTATATATATATCGAAGCAGACCTTAACAAATCTGGTGGTGGTGAAGTTGTTGGCCTTGTCCTGTACATACAGAGGGTGGAACCACTCAAACAGGGAGTGATACAGGCCAAAGTGGAGGTCTGTCTTGCTGCGGATGGCCTGGGCCAGCTCACCTGAACACAAATGTATTCATCAGTGAATGAAGCTGCAGTATTCCTGCTAAATACGAAACTTCTGTAAATAATTAAATCTGGGCCTGACAATCCACTGATTGATATTATGAGCAATTATTCATGCTATTTGGTCACTGAGTCTGACGGGGCAGTGGGGTAGCCTAGTGGTTAAAGTGCTTGCTCGTCCCCAGCCGTGATATTGCTGGAATATTGCTAAAAGCTGCGTAAAACCCAACTCACTCACTCACTCACTGAGTCTGGCCATGTGATGTATTATGTTGCCTCTTATGACAGGCCAAGGCTGCTAAGGACCTAATCTAAGCTACAATCCTGAGACAGATCATTACACTGACCAAACACATACCTGTATCCACTGGAATATATAGCATACAGCTTCTTACCCACAATGTCTCTTTTTGGTCCAACCATCTGGGAGTTCCAGTTGAAGGAGACATTGGTTGGCCAGTTGCAGAAACCTTCATGATGCTTGCTTACAAACACAACATACCTGCAACAGACAATCATGGTATTAAATTTGAGAATGGTCTGGCTGGTGCACTGAACACATATGCAAAAATCAAAGAGTGTAACAACACAGACTTTATGTCCCATATTACCAATTACATGTATTATAGACATTGCTACCAAAATTAAGAAGTAGTTGTGCAGTCTTGATTCTTAATGTTTGATTACCAGGAACAGCCTGAATAGTAATAGTAGCAGTCATCTCATACTTAGCTCCAGAGTCTACAAATAGTTCCGCCCATGTGTTGGCATCATAGAATTCAGCTGTAAAATCTTGAGCAAAGTCTGCATAGGTCCAGTCTGGTTTGTAGTTCTTCTTCATGAAGTCTGTAAAAATCGCATGCTTGTCCCCCTGCCAGTATTCCCAGAACCACTCAGAACCAAAACTTGGTACTGAGAATACTCCCCAGTGAATAAAGACTCCAACTTTAGCTTCATCGAACCATGATGGAATTGGGCGGGAATCTAGGGACTCCCATGTGGGTTCATAGCGAACTTCTGGAGTTGCTTCATAGTGTAAAGAATTTGCGTTGATAGCAACAATGATTGTCAGAAAAATAAGCAAACGAGCTGAAGTGGTAGCCATTTCAACTGTTGTGATATGTATTGCCTTTAAGCTCTATGACCCTGATAGTTATCATTTCTAGATATGTTTGTGTATCTGGGTAAAGGTTATGATTGATAGAGATATCAGCATTCGGACCATGACCCACAATTAAATGTGCTGACAACTATTAGTTTTGAATTTCAGTTATTGATTTATTTAAAAGGTTAATACTTTGAAATTTATCAAATTTCTTGCAAGTTAAAGAGAGTACTCAGGAAGTTATTCAATGTTATGTGCACATTTGTTTAATCAACCATCAAGGCCTCAGTAAAGCTTTCAAAATGTTTTATGGCAGTTGGAGAACATTTTGAAATGAATGCATCAGTGACAAAAATTATGTCAGATGCAATTCTCTTTTTGTATCATACGTTCCCGAATTATTTCAGGTAAATAATTGACTAGACTTTGCATATGTTTATGATGGGTACCACTGATGGGGCATAGTGATTCATAAACACATGCTCTGTCATTGTATCGTATGGTGACAATCACAGGATTGTCTGGTTCAGACTCCATTTGGTTACAAACAACATCGTTCAGCTGTAATACTGCTGAAACAAATATATGCTCATGCTCACTAAATTGTACAATTGACTCTTGAATGTGGAAAGGGTTTTGTCACTTCCATTCTATACTTCAAGTTCATCTTGTCACCTTATTCAAAACACAGGTTGAATAATGAAGTCAGCATGTTTTTTCTTCGGATGTTTTACATCTACTCATTTACCCTGCCCTCACTATGCCCAGTCACAGAATTTATACCTAGGACGCGTTTACGTCATTTTTTTTTTTTCACCTTTTTCATGAAATGCTGACAACTCATAAAAACCAGCAGAGTTTATTTTCATCCTTACCTGCAGAGGTTCTTTTGCTTGACAAACTCTATTTTTGAAAAATTGTGTCCACTTTGTCAATCCCATGCTGACAAGCAAAACCTTACTTGTAGGTTTTTATCCAATGTCTCCAATTTGATGATCTGGCCGCAAGATGTGCAAGGGTGAGATAACACTGCATCAGACTGTGGAGTGACTTAACACCATGCTGATTTAGTGACCTCTTTAATCATGACTGAAAGGTGTTCAGATGTAAGATATGCATCAGACCATGGTGTCCCTCAACACCTTGCTGATTTAGTAACCTCCTTGATCATGACTGAAAGGTGTTCAGGTGTAAGATATGCATCAGACCATGGTGTTCCTCAACACCTTGCTGATTTAGTAACCTCTTTCATCCATACTGAAAGGTGTTCAGATGTAAGATATGCATCAGACCATGGTGTCACTCAACACCTTGCTGATTTAGTAACCTCTTTCATCATGACTGAAAGGTGTTCAGATGTAAGATATGCATCAGACCATGGTGTCACTCAACACTTTGTGGTTTAGTAACCTCCTTTATCATGACTGAAAGGTGTTCAGATGTAAGATATGCATCAGACCATGGTGTCACTCAACACCTTGTGGTTTAGTAACCTCTTTTATCATGACTGAAAGGTGTTCAGATGTAAGATATGCATCAGACCATGGTGTCACTCAACACCTTGCTGATTTAGTTACCTCTTTCATCCATACTGAAAGATGTTCAGATGTAAGGTAAGCATCAGACCATGGTTTTCCTCAATACCTTGTTGATTTAGTAACCTCTTTCAACATGACTGAAAGGTGTTCAGATGTAAGATATGCATCAGACCATGGTGTCACTCAACACCTTGCTGATTTAGTGACCTCCTTTATCATGACTGAAAGGTGTTCAGATGTAAGATATGCATCAGACCATGGTGTCACTCAACACCTTGTGGTTTAGTTACCTCTTTTATCATGACTGAAAGGTGTTCAGATGTAAGATATGCATCAGACCATGGTGTCCCTCAACACCTTGCTGATTTAGTTACCTCTTTCATCCATACTGAAAGGTGTTCAGATGTAAGGTATGCATCAGACCATGGTGTCCCTCAACACCTTGCTGATTTAGTAACCTCTTTCAACATGACTGAAAGGTGTTCAGATGTAAGATATGCATCAGACCATGGTGTCCCTCAACACCTTGCTGATTTAGTAACCTCTTTGTATCATGACTGAAAGGTGTTCAGATGTAAGATATGCATCAGACCATGGTGTCAACCTCAATCACCTTTCTGATTGAGTAGCCTCTTTCATCCATGACTGAAAGGTGTTCAGATGTAAGATATGCATCAGACCATGGTGTCACTCAACACCTGTGAGAACCTATGCATCAGACCATGGTGTCAACACCTTGCTGATTTAGTAACCTCCCTCTTTATCATGACTGAAAGGTGTTCAGATGTAAGATATGCATCAGACCATGGTGTCACTCAACACCTTGCTGATTTAGTAACCTCTTTAATCATGACTGAAAGGTGTTCAGATGTAAGATATGCATCAGACCATGGTGTCACTCAACACCTTGCTGATTTAGTAACCTCTTTTATCATGACTGAAAGGTGTTCAGATGTAAGGTAAGATATGCATCAGACCATGGTGTCCCTCAACACCTTGCTGATTTAGTAACCTCTTTAATCATGACTGAAAGGTGTTCAGATGTAAGATATGCATCAGACCATGGTGTCACTCAACACCTTGCTGATTTAGTGACCTCCTTTATCATGACTGAAAGGTGTTCAGATGTAAGATATGCATCAGACCATGGTGTCACTCAACACCTTGTGGTTTAGTAACCTCTTTTATCATGACTGAAAGGTGTTCAGATGTAAGATATGCATCAGACCATGGTGTCACTCAACACCTTGCTGATTTAGTTACTTCTTTCATCCATACTGAAAGATGTTCAGATGTAAGGTAAGCATCAGACCATGGTGTTCCTCAATACCTTGTTGATTTAGTAACCTCTTTCAACATGACTGAAAGGTGTTCAGATGTAAGATATGCATCAGACCATGGTGTCACTCAACACCTTGCTGATTTAGTGACCTCCTTTATCATGACTGAAAGGTGTTCAGATGTAAGATATGCATCAGACCATGGTGTCACTCAACACCTTGTGGTTTAGTAACCTCTTTTATCATGACTGAAAGGTGTTCAGATGTAAGATATGCATCAGACCATGGTGTCCCTCAACACCTTGCTGATTTAGTTACCTCTTTCATCCATACTGAAAGGTGTTCAGATGTAAGGTATGCATCAGACCATGGTGTCCCTCAACACCTTGCTGATTTAGTAACCTCTTTCAACATGACTGAAAGGTGTTCAGATGTAAGATATGCATCAGACCATGGTGTCCCTCAACACCTTGCTGATTTAGTAACCTCCTTTATCATGACTGAAAGGTGTTCAGATGTAAGATATGCATCAGACCATGGTGTCACTCAGCACCTTGCTGATTGAGTAGCCTCTTTCATCCATACTGAAAGGTGTTCAAATGTGAGATATGCATCAGACCATGGTGTCCCTCAACACCATGCTGATTTAGTAACCTCCTTAATCATGACTGAAAGGTGTTCAGATGTAAGATATGCATCAGACCATGGTGTCACTCAACACCTTGCTGATTTAGTAACCTCTTTAATCATGACTGAAAGGTGTTCAGATGTAAGATATGCATCAGACCATGGTGTCACTCAACACCTTGCTGATTTAGTAACCTCTTTTATCATGACTGAAAGGTGTTCAGATGTAAGATATGCATCAGACCATGGTGTCCCTCAACACCTTGCTGATTTAGTAACCTCTTTAATCATGACTGAAAGGTGTTCAGATGTAAGATATGCATCAGACCATGGTGTCACTCAACACCTTGCTGATTTAGTGACCTCCTTTATCATGACTGAAAGGTGTTCAGATGTAAGATATGCATCAGACCATGGTGTCACTCAACACCTTGTGGTTTAGTAACCTCTTTTATCATGACTGAAAGGTGTTCAGATGTAAGATATGCATCAGACCATGGTGTCCCTCAACACCTTGCTGATTTAGTTACCTCTTTCATCCATACTGAAAGGTGTTCAGATGTAAGGTAAGCATCAGACCATGGTGTTCCTCAACACCTTGCTGATTTAGTAACCTCTTTCAACATGACTGAAAGGTGTTCAGATGTAAGATATGCATCAGACCATGGTGTCACTCAACACCTTGCTGATTTAGTAACCTCTTTAATCATGACTGAAAGGTGTTCAGATGTAAGATATGCATCAGACCATGGTGTCCCTCAACACCTTGCTGATTTAGTAACCTCTTTTATCATGACTGAAAGGTGTTCAGATGTAAGATATGCATCAGACCATGGTGTCACTCAACACCTTGCTGATTTAGTAACCTCTTTTATCATGACTGAAAGGTGTTCAGATGTAAGATATGCATCAGACCATGGTGTCCCTCAACACCTTGCTGATTTAGTAACCTCTTTCATCATGACTGAAAGGTGTTCAGATGTAAGATATGCATCAGACCATGGTGTCCCTCAACACCTTGCTGATTTAGTAACCTCTTTCAACATGACTGAAAGGTGTTCAGATGTAAGATATGCATCAGACCATGGTGTCACTCAACACCTTGCTGATTTAGTAACCTCTTTATCATGACTGAAAGGTGTTCAGATGTAAGATATGCATCAGACCATGGTGTCACTCAACACCTTGCTGATTTAGTAACCTCTTTATCATGACTGAAAGGTGTTCAGATGTAAGATATGCATCAGACCATGGTGTCCCTCAACACCTTGCTGATTTAGTAACCTCTTTTATCATGACTGAAAGGTGTTCAGATGTAAGATATGCATCAGACCATGGTGTCCTCAACACCTTGCTGATTTAGTAACCTCTTTTATCATGACTGAAAGGTGTTCAGATGTAAGATATGCATCAGACCATGGTGTCCCTCAACACCTTGCTGATTTAGTAACCTCTTTAATCATGACTGAAAGGTGTTCAGATGTAAGATATGCATCAGACCATGGTGTCACTCAACACCTTGCTGATTTAGTAACCTCCTTTATCATGACTGAAAGG